TCAGGCTTTTGTATTATTGGAAGGAAATTTGACAAATCAGCCAAATGTAGTTGATGAAATATAATGTTTCCTTGGGGCATTTAGGGTGGAATGTCCATTGGCAGTTCATTTGTGGATGGGTGTTTTGTAGAGTATCAATTTTGCATCAGAAAAATATTTTACATTTTTAGAAGCTTATCCATATTTAGTCCTATTCCTGTGACATTTTGAAGTTTACCTATGGACAGATGGTTGGATTATGCTTATACAATATCTAAAAGACCCATAATGAATGACTGGAAAAAGAAAAACATTCACCATCGATTGTTCAATGTAGAGATGTAATTCTTCTTTAATGTCAAAGGAAGCAGCAAGTAAATTAAGTAATTTCTTCTACTGAGGGAAAATCTTCAAAAAATGCACAGTTTTGAAAGGCTATTTTCAATTTGGGACCTTTTCTGCACAAAATTTGCAAACTTCTCCCCTCACAAATAGCACTAATTTTTCACAGCAGAACTGCCATTTTCTGATGTTGTGGACCTGTTCTGTATAGAATCTGCACTCTTTGTACTGTAAACAGAATGTCCTGCTCAGAAAATTATAATTTTGTTGGACAAATGGGCAGTTGATATTAATTTATATGTTTAACCCATAATTCTTTCCAATATATTTCCTCTCCTTCCCTCTCTCCACTTCATTTTGTCATTTTCCCTCCCAAAACCTGATGGGAATGATGATGATTGCAATGCAAACATAAGCCTGAAAACTAGTGTTTTGAAGACTAGAGATGCAAAGAATACTTGCATATTCTCATTGCCAACCACAAAGGGTGTCTTGAAATACTAAAACAGTCTTCGAAGTAAATAATCATCTGCCATGGCATTCTGAATGCATTGGAACTCCCTCACAAAATCTACAAGTATTTCAGGAAGATTTTTATTTATGTGCACAAATTATGTTTTTCATAAAAAATGTCTCTAAATTGGAAAATCATTGGAAAATGTGAAAACATTCAGCTCAGCTAAGGGAAACTTCTGAATTTATTCTTGCCTACAAAAATGAAATAAAGTAAAATTTACATCTTTATAAAATAATCAAGTTTTTGTGCTCAATGTGTTAAGTATTGCATTTAAACCAATAATTTTGTCCATTACTTCAGTGTTTGACAGTTAAGCATCTCCATTTTTAAACCTCAGGCTCAATCCACATGCTGATGAATAATGCATACACATTGCCATTGCTGAACATGCATATGCTGAATATGTCATTGCATCAGTAATTTATGAATGAGGACTTTTTAAAAAAA